ATTCTTCTTGTTATATCATAGTCGCACAACATGTCAAGACAACAAATTAATATTTTAAACTCACAAGAACAACACATATATGATGAGTCACCTAACAATCTTCAAGTTACAAATGAGCAAGTAGTAGATGAGTCATAAGAAATGACTTAAGTAGTAATGAGGATCCAACCTAATTTAAGCAAGCCATGAAATGTAATGATTATGAAAATGGTTCAATTCCATGAAAGAAGAGTTATAATCAATGGATGACAACAAAGTGTGGGAGCTAGTGGAGTTTTCTAAAGGTTCAAAATGAGTCGATTGTAAATGGGTCTTTAAGATCAAACGAGACTCAAAAGGTAATATTGAAAGGTACAAGGATGAATTTGTTGCCAAAGGGTACACTAAAAAAGATAGCATTTACTATAAAGAGACTTTCTTTCCAATTTTAAAGAAGGATTTTTTAATAATTGTTATGACTTTGATGGCTCATTATGACCTAGAACTTCACCAAATGGATTTAAAGACTGTCTTTCTAAATAATAACTTGGAAGAAGAAGTTTATATAAACCAACCAAATAGTTTCTTAACCACAGGAAAATAAAATCTCGACAATGATATTTTAAGTTCAATGATACCATTGCATTATATGATTTTGTAGAGAAAACTATTGACTGATGTATCTATATGAAGGTTATTGGGAACATGATAAGTTCATATTTTGATATATTTTATGACTTATATTTATACACTTAAACTCTATTATATATATACACACATTATATGTGTGTGTGTATATATATATATATATATATATATACACACACACACACTAATTATGTTATTAATTATTATAGTTTAGCTGAAAGTTGTTATTAGTGCATTATAGAGATATTCTGGATAAAAATTATATATTTTTAGCCTTTGGCAGTGCTATGTGAAGTTGAGTTTAAATTTTAAATTTTAAATTTAAACTTTGATATGAAGATTTGGAGCGATTCTGATTGTGGATAAAACGAATTTGAAAAGATAGAGCTCAATCGATTGGAAACTCAAGACACAACCTATATAAAGAGGCCTTATGTTCTACACTTGAGACACTTTCACTTCTCTACACATCTTATTCCTCTTCTTAGTTCTAACCAAACTCATCTTTGAGAGTCATTGGAGACCATTGACAAGGACAACAAGCTTTTTCTTAGAGTCTAAGCAAGTGATTGAGCGCCCCTTCAGAGAACAAGAACTCTCTTCATCTATTATTTTTTTGAGATTCTTTTGTTTGAGTTTTTCTTTGTGTTTATGGGTTTCTTTATCACGTTCTTTGTAGTTTATTTTGTTATGAGTAACTAAACTCATAGCTAAAGTTATGACGGATCCTACTTCAAACTTTGTGTGATTTTTACTTTTAATATTGGTATTGATTTTCCTTTAATGTTTGGTTTTATTCTATTGAAATGTATTGTGTATGTTAAAATTTGATCATTCTTAGCATTCCATAGTTAGTTACATTGTAGGCAGTCGTGCCACGTATAATTAACGGAACTATAGGATAAAACGAGACAGAAAGTTAGGTTAATCACACTTAATTCCTTTCTTTCAGGCGTTATTAAATTAACAAACTCATAGGATCTTCACGCTTTCTTGACCAATTACCTTGCATGATCATTGGGAGTGTTTACTCAAGAAAAAGAATATTGAAGTTGCATAATCATTAGGTGTTAATAGAATTGATTATGACTGGTTGACAAATATTTGGATACCAACATCAGGATTAAATTAATTAGAACATAAAGAAGTGTAGTAGGTGAACTTATAAGTCATAAGCTCATTTCATCTTATCTATCTCATACATTGTATTACTGTTCTTTTAATTTATTGTTAATATTAAGCTATATTTTTGGTCTATTACAATCCTATTACATTTAAACAATCAAATCAAACTATTCTTGATACTTGAAAATAATTTCTGTGGGACAATAACTTAAAAACTGTTTTAGAAAATCCTTTATTACTTTTTAACAGGTACACTTGTCCACGAACAGAACACATTTATTATTTTGGTCCTATATAGTGATGACATTCTTCTTACTACTAATGATATTGGCGTGTTGCATAATGTAAATGAATTTCTCTTTAAGAACTTTGAGATGAAAGATATAGGTGAGACATCTTATGTGAAAGAAATAGAAATATTTTGTAATATATCACAAGGATTGTTAGGATTGTCTCAAAAAGGTTATATCAACAAAGTCTTGGAGAGATTTACAATGAAAAAAAAATGCTCATGAGAGATAGTTCCAATTCAAAAGGGAGACAGGTTTAGTGAAATACAATGTTCCAAAAAGAGTTAGAACATAAATCAATGGAATTTATTTCCTATGCAGTAGTGGTTGGAAGTTTGATATATACTCAGACATGCACTCAACCAGATATTAGTTTTGTTGTTGGAATATTAGGTAAATATCAAAGCAATCTCAAAATGGACCATTGGAAGGATGCAAAGAAAGTCCTTGGGTATTCATAAGGGACTAAGGACTACATGCTCAAATACAGAAGATTTGATCACCTTGAAGTGATTGACTACTCAGATTCAAACTATGTTGAGTATGTAAACTCAAAGAAATTCACTTTTGGTTACATTTTTCTACTAGTTGGAAGTGGAATTTCATGAAAGAGTGAAAAAGAGTCCATTATTGCTACGTCTACTATCAAGGCAGAATTTGTAGCATGCTTTGATGTCATTGTTCATTCATTATAATTGTGAAACTTTGTCTTAGAGCTTGGTATTATTGTTGACAATACAAAAAGTCACTAAAAATATATTGTGATAATTTTGTAACTATTTTCTTCTCTAAGAATAATAAGTACTTAAATGATGCAAAACACATAAACTTGACGTACTTATTAGTCAATGATGAAGTGTAGAAATATAAATTTTCTATTGAACATATTGGTACTAATATGATAGTAACGGATCCGTAAACTAAGAGATTGTCACCCAAAATATTTTCTGACCATGTTAAAAGAATAAACATTATAGAAAAGTCCTTGTTAATATGATAATACGATTTATATATATGTATAAATTATATTTCTCGTATTATTGTGACACTTGTGAATTCAATTAAGAGTAGTGTTTATGCTTGTTTACTTGTTATTGAGATTGTGTTATGTACATATATTATTTTAGTGTGATAACAAATTGAGTATTAGAAACTCATTAAAGTCATAATTTGTAGTAAAATTGATTTAAGTTATTTGATTTGAGTTGATTATGTAATGCTTGGAAGAAATTATGTCGTTGGATAATTTGTGACCACTATCATTCAATTATTTCAAATCGATTAAAGTTAATGACTTGATAATTTCAATGTATAGTATACACTTATAGTTTATTGAATCCTTAAATTTTCATATAAGTCAAGTAGAAGATTGTTAAATTATTTTAATAATTTATTTAATGACTCGTATAACTTATAGTCTGACTCTAATTAAAAAATTTAATGTGATAATTGTTAATTATAAAAAATAGAATGAATGGGGATTTTAATTTTAATTTTGAAAGAAACACAACAGGGCTATAGATCTTGATAAATCTTTTTAACATCTTATTGTGTGTGAGAATCATAAAATTTAAGATCTTATGAGATTGTAAAATTTTTCAAAAACTTTTTAACACCTTAAACAAACATAATTTTAGGAGAACAGTGTCATGTGTTAGTGCTAGACTAGTGGCTCATAATGAACAAACGCTACTCATTGTGGTGTTGCCATATGTCAAGGCTAGATGTGTTGCTTTAGGTAAAAGAGCCCTACTCCTTAAAATATGCCGTGCATTTTTATATAGTTAATTGTACCTCTTCATTTTGCACTGATGCAAACATTTACATATATCCCTTTCTTTCTCTTATTTTTTATTTTAAAATTTATTTTTTGTTGTTGGAATAAAATAGTTATAATATAAAATTAAAAAAACATACTTTATACATGTTATACTGAAAATTTGATGAAAATACCTCTTTCTCTGTGTTGGTCCCCTCTCTTGGTCCATCTTCCTTCGCAAAACTAGAAAAAAAAAAAACCATTTCTCAATCCCTCTTTGTCAAATGTTAGAAAAAAAGAATCTTGTTATTCTCTCACTAAGCTAAAAAAAGAAATTGGCTTGTTTAAATTCAAAACATTCTGTTCATAACTTACACACGGCAAAAGAAGGAAGGGTGACCTTATCTCACCTGAGCTGCTCTACATGCATGACACATGTCACATGCAAAGCAAATGTGGCTGTCCCATGGAAGTCACTTTGCATGCATGTCATGGGTCAGTGGTACTTGTTGACTTCGAACTAACCAATCTGGTGTAACCCGTGTCCAACTTTACTATTTATTTTGTCCATCGGTTAAATTGTTTCAAAACAACCTTATTCCCATAACGGTGAAAAAAGAATGAAGGAACTAGATTAGTGATGAAAAGAGGTAAATTAGAACACACATTCTCAACCCGGCATGTAGAATATTGGTCACCGATAACAAGCGATACTTTAACGAGGAAAGTGATGAGAATCCCGTGACAATACTTATCCCATAGTGCCCGCCACTGCTAGTTTCCCATCCCCTCTCAAAACCGTTTTAGCACCGCCAACACAATACAATACACACACGAAAACAAAGGTTTAGGGTTAAGGAAACTTCGGTCCCATAAAATAACAACCAAAGCTGACACGTGACTGACATCAATCATGAATTTTGAGGAAACCATCTTCGATAAGTAATGACTAGCAGTAACTCATGAGTTTCCATTTGCAAGCGAACCGCACATTCTATTCGCTCAGGCACGCGTGTCATTTTCCTTCAACGTCCATGTATTCCTCTTACACATGACATGTCTTCCCCTCTTCACTCCCACCGAATAATAATAAAAAGAAACCGATCTTTTCCTTTTACGGTAAAACCCATTTACACTCTTTTCTCCATGTCACCATGCTTGTGTTACAAGGATTAAAGACCCAAGTTTTATTATAAGCTATGTTGCTGAGAGTTTTCGTGTGTGTATTGCAAGCCAAGGACCTGCCCGTGAAGGACTCATGTGTGAAGCTTAAACTTGGCAAGTTTAAGTGCAAAACTAGGACATTGAGGAACACGTCTAACCCTGTTTGGAACAAAGAGTTTGGTTTCAAGGTGCATGATGCGAAGGACGTGCTTCTTGTGTCTGTTGCTAATCATAGTGATGAGTGGAGGGTGAGCAATGGTTGTGTGAATTTTGTAGGTGAGGTACGGATTCCGGTAGGTTCAGTAGCTTTTGAGGATAAGCAAACCTTGCTGCCCACGTGGTTTTCTCTTGAAAGTCCCAGGAGTGGCAAATTTTTCAATAAATTTTGTGGTTTGTTTTCCTCGTCTTTCATCAACACTATGTTATGCTGCTTCTGAAATCTGAACTTCAAATGCGTATTGCTTGAGTAATTTGTTATTAGTCATTGAATTGAGAACATTTTTAAAAAAAATATTATGAAAATTTGGAAATTGTGAACTTCATTAGTTTGTTGAATCAATTATTTACGGAAGGAAGCCTACACTAATCATTTATGTCATTACCTTATACACCATTTTGTTTCTCACAAATTAAACAACTTTTTTTTTATTTCCTTTGCAATTTTGGAGCTACAATTATCGAACTGAATTTTAGCATAATGTCTCGTATGATCAGGGAAAATTCTCCTTACCATTTCCCTTCATGGTAAAGGCCGTGCTTCTTTTATCAATCATAAGTATTCTCCAAATTCAATTAGTGCAATTGAGGACTCAAGAGATTTGGAAGCTTTGCATATTTCATCTCAGGCACATTGTCGTAAAATGGGTGAAGGCAAACACTTGTTAAAGGTTATTGCTAATCGTCTGGATAGGATTTTCAATAAGAAAGGAAGCTCGAAACCTGTGGATTTTTCAGAGCCATCCAATTCATTATCTGATGATGAAGATAGTGTGCAGAAAAATTCACCTCCTAGTAGCTTTGAAGAAGCCATTGCACTAATGGAGTCAAGAGATAAGAAACCAGAAATGCCTGAAAATTTGCAGGGTGGTATTCTAGTAGATCAGTTTTATGTAGTGTCTCCAAATGACCTTAATGTGTTTCTTTTTGCACCCAATTCACAGTTTAGGAAAGATTTGGAAGAACTACAAGGAACAACAAATGTGCAAGAGGGGCCTTGGACATGGAAACACGGAGACATGTCATGTTTAACAAGAGTTGTTTCTTATACAAAAGCTGCTACAAAATTAGTTAAGGCAGTTAATGCCTTTGAGGAGCAAACCTACATTAGAGTGTGCAAAAAGGAATTTGCTATACTTGTTAGTGTAAGAACACCAGAGGTCCCATACGGAAATACATTTAGGACTGAATTACTTTACAAGATAATGCCTGGAGGAGAGGCATCTTGTGGAGAGGAATGTTCCCACCTTGTTGTATCATGGGGCATTGTCTTTCTCCAAAGCACAATGATGAAAGGCATGATAGAAGGTGGTGCAAGACAAGGATTGAAGGAGAGTTTTAACAAGTTCTCCACCAAGCTTGCTCAGAATTTTAAGGTGCTAGATATGCCAGATTTGTCAGAAAAGGAACATTTGTTGGCTACTTTGCAAACAGAAGACCAGTGGAATTGGTGGCAGGCAATTAAGTACTTTTGGAATTTGACAGTGGTTTCTACCATTTTTATGTTTTTGTATGTGTTGGTGCATATTTTAAGGTGTGGTCCAAGTCAACCTCAGGGCTTGGAATTTAGGGGGATTGAATTGCCAGATAGTTTTGGAGAGCTGATTACAAGTGGAGTTTTGATCATCCAGTTGCAGCGTGTTTATAATATGGTGTCTCACTTTGTGCAAGCTAGATTTCAAATGGGTAAAGCGTATTATTTGAAATTTTAGCATACTTTTAAGCTTGTTATTACTACCAACTGATTTCAACACAACATTTAGTTTTTACTTCATTTTCTTCTCACAGGAACTGACCATGGCCTCAAAGCTCATGGTGATGGATGGGTTCTTACCGTGGCTTTAATTGAGGGGGTTGACTTGGCCTCCTTGGAGTCAGAAGGGTTGTCAGATCCCTATGTGGTTTTCACCTGTAATGGACAAATAAGGTCAAGTTCTGTCAAGCTTCAAACATCTGACCCTCAATGGAACGGTTTGATCTTCTAACTTGTTGACAGTTAGCTGCAATAATTTTGCTTTTATATGAATATATCTTTAAAATTATTCTCTATTGGAATTTATACCAATATGCAGAGATATTAGAGTTTGATGCTATGGAAGAACCACCATCAGTTTTAGATGTGGAAGTTTTTGATTTTGATGGTCCATTTGACCAGGATGTTTCACTCGGACATGCTGAGATCAATTTCCTAAAGCACACATCAACAGAACTGGCAGACATGTGGATCATGCTTGAAGGAAAGCTGGCTCAGTCTTCTCAGTCAAAGTTGCATTTGAGAATTTTCTTGGACAATAATAAAGGAGTTGAAACAATTAAGGAATATTTGGAGAAGATGGAAAAGGAAGTTGGTAAAAAGGTAAGCATTATGAATCTGTCTTGCTCCCTTCTCCTTGCCCCATGCATATGCATTTCTCGCTCACAACATGTATATATATATATGCGAATGACTTTAATTGTTTTTGTTTCTCCTGCACTGTACTATTCAGTTCAACCAATTTTATTTTTCCTATGTTTGTGTCATAGAACATTTAGAACTATTTATTATATCTAACTGTGAATAGCTTGTTGGCAGTTGAATCTTAGATCACCTCAAAGGAATTCTACATTCCAGAAATTGTTTGGGTTGCCTCCGGAAGAATTTCTAATCAAAGATTTCACTTGTTATCTGAAGAGAAAAATGCCTTTACAGGTACTACATGTGATTGACATGTTTAAACACATTTTTTATGATAGTGGCTGACTATATAATATATCAAAGTAGAGATATATTCGAATAATCTCCATAAACACCATATAAAACATAACATTTTTTACAATGTGATATTGAACTAGCATATAGTAATTTACTTGGTGATGTTTAAGTAATAAACTTCATATATTAAATAAAGGATGCCTTCCTGCTTTAGGGTCGTCTGTTTCTTTCAGCAAGGATTCTGGGGTTTTATGCCAATCTGTTTGGACATAAAACCAAGTTTTTCTTCCTTTGGGAAGATATTGAAGAAATACAAGTGCTTCCTCCATCATTGGCATCAGTAGGAAGCCCTACATTGGTCATAATTCTGCGACAAGGACGAGGTCTTGATGCAAGGCATGGTGCAAAGACTCAAGATGAACAAGGAAGACTTAGGTTTCATTTTCAATCATTTGTTTCGTTTAGTGCTGCCTCCAGGTATGAGTTGAGCATGCCTACAATTTAAATATTATCTAATGAGTTGATATAATTTTTTCGCATTCACATGACATCAAATTTTGTTTCTATAAAAGAACAATAAAGGCCTTGTGGAGAACAAGAATACTGAATCCCTATCAGAAAGAACAAATTACAGAAGAGCATGAAGATCAAGAAGGCTTGGTAATTCCAGAAGACTCTGGATCTATCCTAGAGGATGAAGCAAAAATGTCCAAAATTTTCTCAGCAGAACTTCCAATTAAGGTAAGCAATAAATTACCAAATTAAATATAAATTTACTCTCACTTTTGGTAGACCGAAGATTTGCAAACCATAAATCGTAGGATTTTGTCACTTAAATATTATTCAACTTTTCATTTTTATCTAAAGTGAGATTTCTTCACTAACACTACCTTAAGACTTCATTCCAAAAGAAAGAGGAGGCTAGTTGTGCAAGTTGTCTTGCAGTTTCATTAACAAGTTCAGAAATGCTGCTAACAACACGCTCTGCAGCACACTCCTAATTATTAACTAAAATTTATTGAAAGAGTTGAACCCACTTGATTTTTCTAGTTTTCAGTAGCATTCCTCTTAACAAGTTAGTTATAACTATATATCGTATTTGGGAGACATGAAAAAGGAAATTTCCTGAGTAGATAAATTAAGAATTAGCATTCATGGTATAAAGTTTATGTAGCTTTGATGTGTTGTGATACTCTTGCCCAGATGAGATCTGTGATGGGAATTTTTTATGGAGGGAACCTGGAGCATAAAATTATGCAGAGAACTGGATGTTTGAATTATGAAACCACAGCATGGGAACTAGTAAAGCCTGATGTCTTTGAAAGGCGTGTTTCATATCAATTCAATCGGCACGTGTCAGCTTTTGGTGGTGAAGTTACATGTACACAACAAAAGTTTCCAAATGCAAACACTGGAGGTTGGACTGTGATTGAAGTTATGGCTCTTCACGGTGTCCCATTTGCTGATCACTTCCATGTATGCTAAACTTGAAACTTAAGTTTTAGTTCATTTGTGATAAATCTAGTTCAACTTGTTAGGACCTCTGATTTTGTATGTCTGCAGATTCATTTCAGGTTCGAAATTGAGAAATCCTCTCTTGGTGACTGTGCTTGCAAGTGTGATGCTTACATTGGTATTATGTGGCTTAAGAGCTCTAAGTTTCAGCAAAGGATCAACCGGAACATAACAGCCAAGTTTAGCTTTCGACTGAAGGAAATATTTGAATTGGTTCAGAAAGAGATTTTGTTAATGTCTCAGAACTCACATGGATGAGGTTAATTGGATAAGAAGTGCATAGGCAGATAAAAGTGTTAGGCAAATGAAAAATGACTTTTCTGTAGAGCAATTAACTTTCTCAATTTGTTCAAACAAATAATACTTATATATAAAAAAAAAATTATCTGCGTACCTAAAACACAGCTAACTGTAAAAGAAAGAGAATATAATTTAGTTTAACATACAGGAATAGTTTGTGTTAACTTTTCACGACTCGATATAATAAGGTACATAATTTTTTTTCGGTGCACCTTACAAATTTGCAATTTTAAGTATATATTTGGCATAGCTTTTGGTTACAAGTTTAGGTCTTTTTCTTTGTTCTGTGAGCGTTGTAATGTTTCATAACCTTAGTTTCTTATGATAGGCATTTTAATCTGTGCGATATAAAAGTAATGCAAGAAGTGTGTCAAACAACTCTATTTATATTAGGTTATTATGTATGTGTCTGCTTTAGTTTTGAACCACTATGAATTCACTGGTAATTGCTAACTGGTCAATAAGTTATTTTAATAAATTTAAAATATAGTATTATCACAATTAAAATTTAAACACGAGAGGGATTTTCGGTAATGCACAGAGCTAAACCAAACAAACCATTAGTCTGCGATTAAATGGGCAAACCTTTGTGATTCGTAAGGACCCCTTGTGGGGTTTCTCATACAGTTAACTCATCAATTGTTTTAGTTAAAGGACTACTTCAAAATTTGGACATGGTTAAAAGCACGAATTTGATGTAGGAAAAGTTGAAAAATGTGAATCAATTTACAAAGAAAAAGTACGAATCTGATTTATAATATTTTTCTTAGAAATGAAGTTTTCACTAAGACCCTTTAGTGTATGGTCATAAATACTCAAAACTGGTAAAAATGACTCATTTGTAACTTTTTATAACTATATTTTAGGGCTATTAATTTGATATTACTCTGCTTTGACTTTAGAAGTTTGAATTTGAAATATTTTCTAGTTTGAAAATTGAAATCTCAATCTAAACTTGATAATTCTAATTTACTCTTCAAGTTTGTATTTATAGATTTACTTTAGATATTGAAATTAGGTGTAGTTGTTAAAATATAAAATTTTATTTTATTTTTAAATAGGAATAGCCACTTCGTTCGGGATGTTTGAATGCCCACAAAAGAGTAACATAGATCAGGAGTTGCTTTCTGCACCTCATTATTTTTACACTTTATTAATTTTTTAAAAAAATGTCTTTATCAATAATTTATTTTACTATTTTTTTATTTTTTTTAAATAACTTTTTTTTTCTTTAGAACTTCACTTAACGTTTCATTTTGTCTTTCACTGCTTCAAGTTTAGTTGTCCTTCTATTATCACAAGTATATTATATAATATTTATTTTTCCTTTCATTGTTTTGAATGTATTATAAAAAGTTCTATTTATTGTAAAAAATATCATTTTCATCAAGCTTAGTCAATTTGTGAACCTGAGCACTCTTCTGGAAATAAGCTGTTAGAAACAAGATTCTACAATTCCAGAAATAAGTTTCCAGAATTAGGTTTTCACATTTTTAAAAGTTAATATATAAAATTATTAATTCTTTCTAGAAATGATTTTTCTAAATTATGATTCTACACTTTCGAAATTAAGTTTTCATGAATATTTTACACTTTCAAACATTAATTTCTAGAATTTTTAATCATTTCTTGAAAAAAAGTTCAGAACTAGGATTCTATACTTCCGAAAATCAATTTCTAGAAGATAAAATTTTAATTCCAGAAATTTATTCCTAGAAATAATTAATAATTTCGAAAATTAATTTATAAAAGTATAAAAATATAATATATAAAATATTTGAGAAGATATTTTATTATTATAAAGGATATTTAAAAAAATAATGTTTTAACAGGAATGTGAAAAGAAAAAAAAATCCTACAAATTAAATATCAACCCATTTAGCGGAACTATGTTTTTTCTTGGGCTAAACTAACTGGGGTGGAAGTTTGATAGGCCCATTGAGACATGATTATTACTACTTGGTACTTGCTACTTACTAGTTACCACTTACGAGTAGCATTGACCACCTTATCACTAATCAGTATTCAGAGGGGCGATTCCATTCTCCACTTCCACGCTAATTACCGGCGCCGAATTGTCACTATCCCACTCCTCTCGTAACTAAGAAACAACCAAAAGCAAAGCGATATTCTCAACGGTGCATTGATTCGATATCATCACAATTCGTCACCATCGCCATCACAATTCACAACTTCCCAAACCTCTCGCCTCGCCATGGATCCAAACCCGGGAACCTTTCCGCTTCTCTCCTACGTCATGTCTCGTCTCCCTTCCCTCACGCCCAGAACCGCCACAACTCCTTCCGATTCCGACCAATTCGATATCGAACAGCCTCGCGCTCCGGAAATCGTGGGACAAATGCCGCACCTCGCTGACCCGGAGTTGGTAGCCTCCATGGCCCGGGCCATATCCGACGTGGAGCAGGCCCGGTCGGTGCTGAAGCTGATTGGGGAGAGGCCCACTCACGAAGAAGTGGACCACGCTCGAGCCCAGTTGGCGGAGATGGAAGCCCAGCTGTCGAGACAGCTGGAGGAGATCGTGATGCAGGCGAGGCCCGCGGAGATGGAGATCCACGTGTGGCGGGCCCAGCAGGCCCAGAAGGAGAGGGAATGCAGGGAGTGGGCCGAGAAGGAGAAGCAAATTTGGAAATCGGTGTTGCAGCTGGACGAGATGCACGAGGCGTACGAGAAGCTTCTGAAGGACGCTGAGAAGCGCTTGGTGAGAATGTACGAGTCTGCTGAAGATGGAGATGGTGATGGAGAAAAAACCGCTTGTGAGGAAGTGAACGAAGAGGTTGTGGGAATACTGCAAGAGGCCTATGGCAAAGGAATGGAGCGAGTGAATCTTTCTGGTCGCCAATTGAAGCTCTTGCCTGATGCTTTTGGTCGGATTCCTGGCTTGCTCGTGCTTGATCTTTCAAGCAATCAGTTTTCGGTGAAGTGCTATTTTGTTTACTCATTATTTTCAATGAATAATTTGTTTTTCCGAAGTTGCTGATGTTAAATTATATTAATAATAATTTTAATAACTTATGAACATGGAGTAGGATTTTGGAAGTGGGATTTTGGTTTGAAATTTTGACCAGCTATTTGACCACATATCGAAGAAATATGTCTGGTATTGTTCTTATTTCATTTGTGCTAAGTTCATTTGTAGTTGTTGATCACGAGGCATGAAAAATAAATATTTAAAGCAAAATAGTTATTCAAACTTTTATGCGATGCACTATTTTATCCTTAGCGTTACTGCATTTGGAAGCTATTTCTCACTCTCTCTACGGATTTTTAGACCAGCTCAACAAAATAATCCATTCCATTTCCGCAGATGAACTTTCTTGTTTCATCCATGATGTATTTTAATGGGCTTAGCCTGAAATTATTATAGTCACATTATTGTATTTTAGCTATAGAATATAATCAATTAGTCATTATTTCCCTATTATAGCAGATACACGACACGTTTTTGTGCAAAAATTAATAAGTATGCTCAGTTCTACTGTTATTCCAGAAATCTACATCTTCCTGTGACAGAAAATTATAGTTAATGTCACCTTTCATTTTCAATGCGTGTATGCTTCTTGGTGCTCCATTGATATGCTTAAAACCGTGTTGCAAGTACTGATTTGCTTTGAATGATATAGCATTTCCTATTATTTTATACTAATATATTTGTGCATCACAATAGGCAATTCCTGACTCAATAGCTGGATTGCAAAACCTCGAGGAGCTTAATCTCACTTCAAATCTTTTGGAATCACTGCCAGATTCAATTGGATTGTTACAAAAATTGAAATTGCTCAATGTCTCTGGAAACAAGCTGACTGCCCTTCCTGATCCCATCTGCCAATGCAGGTAAGTGAGAAATTCATAAGAGCAACAATTTTTATATTCTTATCATGGTTACCAATTTGAGTCCTTGTGGTTTGGGATCCCTACGAAATTTATTTTGGACACTAACATCCACGTGTTTTAAGAATTAATGGTTAACTTTAGTCGAGAACCTCATATGAGTATTTTGTAAGCCATATTTATATACTATTACTACTACTAATATTATTATTATTATTATTATTATTTAGCTTATTATTTGTTATACTATCATATTTAAAAAATATATGAAACTTCAACCGTTTGTTTTGAAACAACAAATGCAACAATTTTTTTTTTGTCATTTTATTTCCAGGTCTTTAAGTCTTAAAAATCGACATTGAAGTGTTTAAACACTATAATTTGTAAAGTGTCCCACTATGAATTCCATGTAGTATGTGCGTATATCATGTTATTGTTTTTAAACCATGGCTGGAAAACATACTCAAGTCATTTAGGAATTAGAATAAGTTCAAACTATAAATAATGATCACTGATCAAACCCCATAAATGAACAGGTCATTGGTGGAGTTGGATGTAAGCTTTAACAATCTATCATATTTGCCAACAAACATTGGGTATGAATTACCGAACTTAAAGAAACTCATGATTCAGTTGAACAAGATTCGATCTCTTCCCTCATCTATTTGTGAGTTGAAGTCCTTGCGCTATTTGGATGCTCACTTTAATGAGCTACATGGGCTTCCAATTGCAATTGGGAGACTGACTAATCTCGAAGTTCTCAATCTGAGCAGTAACTTCAGTGACCTTAAGGAACTTCCTGAGACATTTGGTGATTTGACTAACCTCAGAGAATTGGATCTCAGCAATAATCAAATTCATGCGCTTCCTGATACATTTGGTCGCCTTGATAATTTGACCAAGCTAAACTTGGAGCAGAATCCTCTTGAATTGCCACCAATGGAGATTGTAAATCAAGGGGTGGAAGCCATAAAGAATTTTATGGCCAAGAGGTGGATTGATATATTGATGGAGGAAGAAAGGAAAAGCAATCAAGAAATGCAAGAACAAGAACAAGAACAGGGTGGTTGGTTAACACGAAGCACCTCCTGGTTGAAAAATATGTCTGGAAATGTAATTGGTTATCTTGGAACGGCCGTTGGATCTCCTACACCCAAATCTCCCAGAGATGCTTATCTTGATCAGCAGTTATGAGGTGATGGTCCAATGCATATTGGGACTGTCAGAGTTGTATTTTAGAGCAATATTATAGATACTATCTTCTGCTTAACAATTCCCTGCTACTACTCCCAGGTGAGCCCAACCCAAGGCAGGGTGGGAGATACTATGCCTACAGATATTTTTGTTTAGCTTGTGCTATTTGGACTGATAAAAAAGATGAATTTTGTGGAATGAAATGAACAATGCAAGGTTCCATGTTTTATATACTAACCTCCGTTGATTCTTTCTTCTTCTCTTAATCAGTCTGATATATTCACTCGTCATCACATCATATATCAAAATATAATTTTAAAATAGTGGAATATCATGTCTGACAGCATTTTTGTTTCTGTAAAAGTAATCTTAACCAAATAATATATTTAAATTAAATCAGATAATTATTTATAAATTTATATGCAAAAAAAGTATATATGAAAGCATAAATGCAGGGTTTTGAATCGTGATTAGGTAAACCTCCATGCTTCAAAACATTATTTTAATTGCCCAATATCAATGGTAAAACAAACGAGCAACAGAAATATAGTGTGCAATTAAATCTCTGATTGGCAATTGCTAACAATCATTTTCTTTATTATCACATATGTTTTAATGTAAATTCTACGATTATTTTAATTTTGTTTAAATATTTACAATTAAATTTAGTAAAAATTATTTTTATCCCACTTTAAAATAAATGGATATTTAGTGTTTTGTTAAACGTTTATAGAATTTTTCTTAATTACAAGTGAATTTTGAAGTAAAGTGATTTATGTTTTAAATTTTCTTTAAGGTAAAGTTTGTGAACAAAATTCAAAATAAAAACAAAACTCAAAATAAAAAAAAATATAAGATAATGGGTAAATTTTTTTGGAAGATTAAATATTGGATAAAAATCGATTCTGAAAAAAAAAAATCATAGATAATAGTTATTCTCATAGGTTAGGTGAGTAGATAAAAATTAATTGGATGCCATCAGGAAAAAGGGGGTGGGGAAGATGATGGATATTTTTAAAATTAAAAAAAAATCAAGAGGAGGTATAAAATAAGGAGTTCTCCTCATTAAAAAAAAAGAAAGAAAGAAAATAAAGAGGAGAGGCTACACTTAGCATACATTCTCAAAAAAAAAAAAAAAACATTATTAAAAATAAATTGAGAGAAAAAAAGCTACACTTGTAAACTAATTAAGCCAATAAAAAGAAAGAATAGAAGAGAAAAAATAGAGATAAAGCAAAAGTACCTAATAAAAGCATATCAAACCAAATTATTTTATCTCTTTATATTCTTTTTTACACTTTCATTTTTATTTTATTATTTTTTTCTAAGCACGATAATAAATTCTAAATCACAAAGCACATCAATTAACTCTTTTGATCGTGTAATTTTTCTCATATTGTGTTTTGACATTGTTTCATACTAATTTATTCTCTGTTATTTCTTCTTTTTGTAATATAATAATAAACCTTAAATCACAAACCATAACAAAAGTTCATTAAGTAACTCTGCATTGTGTGATTTTTCTTATGTTGTGTTTTGACATTTTTTCATCCACATTTTTCTTTTGTTGGATCTTTTTCTAAGCATAAAAAAAATAATATAAAGACTTTTTCCATTAAAAAAACAAATTCTTTCAAGAAACAAATAAAATATTTTTGTTATTATTAAATTACTAATCTCTCTAAACTCATTCTAATATTTTCTAATAATCATTATGTGCTGTCATATTATTACCTTTTTCGAGAATCTTTACTTCTTTGTCTGTAGATGTGCATTTTAGAATTTGTTCATATTATTTACTTTTAATTTATTTTTGTTTTGATAATAATATATAATAGTTAAATCTTAATGGGTTACATTTGAGTTAATCATATAATAAATTTTATGAATTTTATATTTTTGAAATTTTGAGTCCAATGTCAATTTAAAATTTTAAAAAAAGTTTAAAAGAAGAATGTTTGATTTCGGCTCTTTTAGAGTTTTATTTTTAAATGTTTTGAAAAACATTATACCTATATATACACATATTTTTATTTTTTAAAATTAAAATATTTTTAATTTTGTTTTTCATAAAATTTATTCACATAATTTATTACAAGATATAGAAAACAATAATAATGATGAAATATAACAATAACAAATATAGAAATAAATCAATCTATACAATATATCAATTATTTACAGATTTTTTGACTTTTATATTATTATTATTATTATTATTATTATTAAAGAATCAAAAACAAAGGGGAAAAACATTCAAACATAAACCCTAAAAGAGACAAAAACAAACTTTTTTTTTTCAAACTTTTTTTTTATTTTAAATTGATATTGGACTCAAATTTTCAAAAATATAAAGTTAAAAATTTTTATTATATGATTGACTTGAATATAATCTATTAAGATTCAACTATCATTTATCATTATTAAAGTAAAAATAAATTAAAAAGAAAAAGCATTAACTAATTCTTAAATGCACATCTACCAACAAAGATGCATCGGCATATAAAAGATATTAAAGTGAGTTTTGAGAGATTATTGGGTCAATAATAACAAAAAAATTTATTTGATTCTTGAAATTATTTTTTTAATGGAAAAACTTTTTGTATTTTTTTTATGCTTAAAAAAAGATCCATCAAAGTAAAAATGTGAGTGAAAATATCAAAACATAACATAAGAAAAATCACATGATCAAGAGTTACTTGATAATTTTTGCTAGGATTTGTGATTTAAGATTTATTTTTGTGTTTGGAAAAAATTAACAAAAAATAGAAATAATGGTGTGAAGTCATACAATCAAAAGAGTTACTTTATGTACTTTGTAATTTAAGGTTTAATAATACCCTATTTTTATTATTGATGTATTTTATTACAGTTTATTTTTAAAATAGAAAATTTTAAAAAATTTAAAATTATAGGAGATCTCGCTTAAGTGAGACTGGTTATTCTGGATCACTTACTGCAGAACATTTTCACTTAGGCGAGATAAATCTCATCCAAGCGAGAACAGATAATATCGCCCCAATAGTCTCCTCATCCAAGCAAGAAGGCATAGGAAAAATGAGAGCTTTTTGGACTAGGTTTCGCTTAGGCGAGAAGGCTTCACGCTCAAGCGAAATTAAAAGAAAATTGAGTAAATTTTTTCTTCTAGTATTCTCGTCCAAGCAAGAATGCATCTCACTCAAGCAAGAATCCATTTGCTCAAGCGAGAAGCTGTAGGCCAAAAAATATTTAAGGAACTTCATGTTTTAAAACTTTTATTTCAAGTCAAGTGACATTTCCTTACTTTTCTCTGTGTTCTCTCTCTTCCCTTTCTCAGAGAAAATTCATTTGAACTCTGAGTCTCTTTCAAGTCCAATCTTGAACGTTTCTTCCTCTTAATTCTAAGAAGAACTTAGTCTTTCAGATGATATCTTCCATGAAACTCTTCGCAAATCATCTCCTTAAGATAAGGAGAGTTCTATATCATCATTTAAAGCTTTAACTGCAAAACTTCCTTCCATTTTCATACACATGCTTTGTTCAGTATGTGGTTATATGATATTTATTTCAAAAAAAAATAATCTAAACTTAAAAATGAATTCTTTAGGATGTCAAACCTTAATATTCAACTCAAGGGTTATTTGAATTAGATTTTTCTAGAGAAAGTTATGAGTAAACACGATTTAAGTTATTTTCTTGAGTTAGATAAAATTTGAAATGGATGATTGCATGATATCTTGTGTTCTAAGAAGTTTGCATGGGATATATAAAGAATACATAGTATAAAATAATTATATAGTGATGTACTTCAAACCCTAGCATTGAAGATTTATATTTTAAAGTAATTACAACATGTAAATGCGATTGGAATTGAGTCCAGAGGTATTCGACCTCAAGCAAATTGTTTGATGATGTAACTATATTTAAATGACATGATATCATGATTATGGATCTTTGTTTGAAAGTTGATGTATATTTGATTATTCTTTGAAGGATATGAAAATATGATTTTTGAAAATATACAATTCAAACTGAGTTCAGAGGTGTTTAACCTTCAACATGATTGATGATTTTATGATGAAAAATTATTAAAGTTGTGCTATGATGAAAGGTGATAGAAATACATATAAATAGTTACAGAGATACACTAGGGGTATATGAGTATAGAGTTCGGAGACGATTTGGAGAAATCTGAAGGAAATAAGGGCGATGAATGATGTTCATAGTAAGTGCACATAAATTAATGAAAGCGAAAGCATCACAAGCCTTACACTCATTTCTTGACTAAACTTCTGATTATATATCTTTTGCTAAAAGGGACTGTGTTGGCACACATTGTATCAATATTGCTAAGGCTAATTGATTGTATGATTAATATATATATATATATGTGTGTGTGTGTGTGTGTTATAACATATTGATTAGAGTGATTATAATGTATTTGTTATAATATATCAACCGGTGTGATTATAATACATGTGTTATAACATATTGATTAGTGTGATTATAATATATATATTATGACATATTGATTGGTGTAAACATATGTTAAATAATATGATCTTAGTGTATGTTTTAAAATATTACTAATATGATTAACTTAGTGTTTGATTTGTTGCAAATTTGTTAAATCATTATTTCAGTGATTTTAGTGAGAAGGAGAAGACTCATCCTTATATTTTTAAGAAATAGAGTATGACCATTCTAAGAAGACTGGTCAAATTGATCTAGACTAGGATTATATTCTTTAAGTTTTTGTGTACGAATGATCCGCTCAATAGAATCTAATATATTATATTTTTCTTCTTTTTATAATTATTTAACTTAAGTTTTAATTTATTTTGATCATAATTTGTAAATATTGTATTTATGTATTTCAGTAGTATAAATAAAGTAATTGATTGATGTTGTTCAAATTTTATTTATTATTATATTATGATGAGAAATGTTTAATTACATTTAAATTTGTTATTTTAAATAATTATTAAATTTTTAAGTATTAACTGATAAAAGATAAAAGTTTTAAATTTTTGTAAGTTCTTACACGTTACAATTAAAAAAAAAATGAAATAGTATTATAATTAATATTTAAATTTTTTATAAATTATCACAAAATATTTTATAAAAATAGGAAGATCACACTTATAACAAAAAAACAACAAAAAATACAAATAAAGGTATTAAAAAACAACATAAGAACAAATTATATTTATATATATTATACCAATCAAATATAATGTAAATCGAGCCTTTCATATAGTATACTAATACAATTTTATTAGAGATTAAAATCTATTTTTATTTTTGTCTCTAATGATATGGTATTATGATTGAATTCTTTTTTATAAACAAATTATTTAAAGAAATTAGATTTAGTCAATAAAATTTCCTAATTCTCTCCTTTTTTTTTTCCACTACTAGTTATATTATATGCATCCAATAAAAAAAATATTATGCTCTCTCTCTCTCATGATGTTTTGAGATATGTGTTCTAAAAATAGGGATTTTTCTTAAAATTTATATTTTTCTCCAACTATTTCCTCCTTTTCTTGAGGACACCTCTCTTCTATCTATATCTCTTTTTAATTTTTTATTTATTTTAAAAAGTTTCCATCATTTATTTCATTCTCTTGTTAATTGATAATCACCCAATTAGTTTTTATCCACCATATTATTCATTCACATAATTTTCCAAAATATTTACCCATTATCTTTCATTTTTTCTAAAATATTTTGCAATTGGTTTTTTATCTACCATTTTATCCACTCATGTAACTTTAAAAAAAAAACTTGCCCATTATTTTTAAATTTAAAATTTTGAATTTTGTTTATTATTATTATTATTATTTAGTAAACCATATAAAATTGGCTATTTAAGTCATCCTAAAAGACATGTTTAGCAACTGCTAAACCCATAAAGAAAACTAACTATTTTGTAGAAAGATATTACAGAATGGTATAGTTTTAAATTTTTTACTTATTTTATTTATAAATTATCCTATTTATTAAATCAAAAATATTAAATTATTTTGTTTTAAAAAAATAAGAAATGCATATAAATTTTTATTTAATACAATTTATAAAGTAAAAAATATAAAAAAAATTATTAAAGACACAACAAAGCTCTAATTAGAATAAAACTGTCAAGTCTTACCAGTTGTTCTAGAATTGCTATGATTTTCAAAGTACTATAATATTGGAAGTAAAGAATTTGTAGGAATAGACCCTATATCATAAATTTTTAATAGTTTAATTAATTTTTCATCATTATAAAAATAATAAATTTTGAGATAAGTTCTTTAAAAAAAATTATTAGAATTTAATCCCTACAATTAATTGTCATTTGTTAAGTGATGAGTTGGATAACAAAAATTCATCTCATCACTACCATGTGGGGAATCTCTAACATGTAACATATCTTTGTTGGAATTAAAGAATAAGATTTGAAGAAAAAAAGATTACAAAAGAATTACCATCCTAATTTGTAATGGTACTTTGTCCTCTTCTCTTCCTAGCAAATAAAAGAAGGAGAAAAGCTCCAAATAAAAGTTGATGACAAGAAATTTGCGAACTAATAGGTCTTAATTGGCAGTGTTGAAGCCTTCACGATGGAGTGTGAAGAAATGATGGTGTCACTAACATCTAGTAGCAAGAATAATCCTAGAAAGGCATTTTGAAGATGTCTTAATTGGAAATAAGTAAAAATAGTTTCCTTCATCAACATAGTACTTTATTGTATTGTTTTTTAATTTTTTTTTGTTACATCGGATGTGATGAGCAATTGAGAGATTCTTGTGACTTTTTTGAATGGATTTATAAAGGAGTTTATAAGGAAGTGAAATGCATATGTTTAAATGAGGCTGCATCTGTCATTGAAAATCACATGCGTAAGATTGGAAAGCTAGAAAGAAACTTGTCCTCATAAGAAGATAAAAGGACTAATTCTGTCTTGCATAGATAGAGTTTCATATGCCGTCACATTTTTGTTGTTAACGTACGTTGCTATGAAAGATTAACAAATTGAGAATGTGTGATTTTTTGTGGTTATTGTAATGTGAAATTAAAATTGGTGTAATGTAAGTAGGTTAAAGATTTAGTCATTAGGAGATTTAATGGTTAAATATGTGTTTTGATGTGGCTAGACTCATACCAAAATTTGTGATCAATAAAATGGTGTTTTGTTTAGCAAAAAAATGATTATTTATTATGGAGTATAAGCTTAATTAACTAATTTCGTTTTAATCCAATTACAAATTTATTATGTAATATCAACTTAATTTAGTATGCAACAATTAGTGGTGAAATAAATAACATTTATAGCACACAATTTAGTTATAACATTGCAATATGACAGCAAATTTTTTTCATCATGTTCAATAAATACATCCAAAATAAGAGGAACTTAATCTATTCCATCATTTGTCATAAACACATCCAAAATAATAGTAACCTAATAAAACTAAACTAAGTTAATTGTATCAAATTGACTTGCAATTGGATTGATAACCATAGATGCAGATCGGCTTGTTGTAAGTACTAATGTTCGTAATCCAAGTTCAGTGGTGGTTGAACTAACTTGTATTCTCCTTCCTTTGTCCTCTTTTGCTCCCTTTGCCTCTTGCTATCCCTCTTCCAACATCAAGATTTGATGGTTCCTATAGATAAAAAATGAGATTGGGAAAGTATTTAATGTGAAAAAAATAATAATTAATTATTCTGTGATCATAGTGATAAGTTATTTACTAGTGTGTTTAGGTTAATTTGAGCATTAGACAGTGTTTGGTCAATTGTTATGATTTCCTATTTTAGACATAAAATTCAATAAATAATTATTTATAGTGTGTTGTGATTTAACCAATAACAAATATAGATCTTACCTAATGAACGGGGAGTTTGGACCAGTAGCCGTGTATGTCCAAAGCTCATACTAGCATTACACTCAATAGCCCTAAAATTTGGTGAATACTCATTTTACCTGGTTGCAGTAGTTACATCATATTTTGATTTTGTCCATCTTATCGTTGCTCAATGCCACACCTTGTATAAAGCCCATAATCACACCAAATTCAGGTTTATACTTACAATTAGGCTTGATTTTACTCTTTACTCCAGATATTATTTCAAGTTCAGGCTTATTATTAAAGTATTTTTAATCTAACAAGGTATTTCAAAGAAAAAAAAAAGGATTTGATATCTTAAAAAATATATAATAATATTAAATATTATATTTTTTAATAAAAATTATTATTTATTAATTTTATATTATGTGCTTCTATACACACATTAATTTTTTTTTAAAATATATTTAGATGAATATGTTTTCATTCATCCTTTATTTGAATAATGGTTGAAATAGAAATGATTAAAATAAGAAGGACATAAATAGAAAAGAAATAAAATAAAAATATGTATTATTTGAATGAATAAAAATTGAAAATAAAAAAGTAAAAAATAAAATAAAATAAATAATATAAAAATACTTTTTAAATAATTTAAAAATAAATTTAACTTAAAAAATCTCAACTTTTATTATATATTTTTATCTTAATATAAAAATATTTATTATTTATTAGTTATAAAATATTAATTTTTATTTTTTTAAACTGCAACCATGAACAACTGTAATTTTTTTCCTCAAAAGCAAGAATTTAGTGGAAGACCCACTAAAATTATATCATTTCAATCCTGTATTTTACCCATATCAAATCAAGAAGACGTACAAAATTAATGCATTACTTCCTTTACAATTTCAATCCTTCTATTTCTTAAAAATAAACACACCATCAATCTTCATCCAACTACTCAGATTAAGTGATTAACCTAGCATTAAGTCTTAACTACATATTAAGCATGACTCAGTTTAGTGTGTTTAAAAATAAGTTAACAGATTTATAAACATAAATTTAACGTAGAGCTATAACTAGTAATAGGTTTATGCTCATTCAAATGTGAATCCAACTATATTATTAAACTATTGAATAAAAATATAAAAATATATGATTTTGAAAAAAGAGTTAACCTTAGGTTTTAGAATAAAGTTTAAACAATTAAATTTTATTAAAACATAAACATTTATTACGTTTTATATCTTTAATGAAATAAATCTATTGTTTAAAGAAAAATCTACTATTAAAATACATAAATTTAAGCTTTAAAACTAAAGTTAAGAAAATCATTCTTTCAACTGTATCCCACCGTGCATCATGGGCACTAAATCCAAATCCATTCAATAAAGGAGGGGACTCTAATTTCTTTTTAATCTCTGTTTCTCTTTACAATGATCATTGTTGGAAAAGAAAAAAAAGAAACAGAGGAAAATCCATTCAGTTGAACCTTTGTCCGTGTGTGTTTCGCTTATGTAAGAGGTAGTCCCATGCTGACATGGTCAGTCTCCATGTGCTCTTCATTGGTTCATGGCTCCCACACTCTTTATTACACCCTTCCCTTCTTTCTTTTCCTCCACACAAATTATAAAAGAAAAGAAAAGAAAAAAGCTTCTTCTGTCTTCTTTCTTATTCTTTAATTTTTAAGTAATGCATAGCTTACCAAAAACAAATTAATTAATGCATAATGCATCGTCTCAATCCTTTTCGTGGATCATGATTCTGTCTGCAGATCAAGAGTAACGCAATGTGCCCACTCTGATCATTAAATACAATGTTGCTAAGATCAACTTTTAGAAATGACTTTAAATATCTAAATATAATGATTATTTATATATTTATTGTACTTTTAAATATTTAAACTCCCTCCCAAATGCTAAAATTAACAAAATTTTATTTAAATAAACCAAAACCCATTAAACCCTTATCATCATCAACCACTTTAATAACAAACAAAATCATTATTAGCATTTAATTCCCTGTTTCTCTTTCATTTTAGTACTAGAAAAACACAGGAATTTTCGTAGGCAGAGAGAGAGAGAGAGAGAGAGAGAGAGGTTTTTAGTTTTTACTGAAGGGCTCGGTGATTGGTTCTTTTCCTTGTTCCCCTTTCCGGGGATTCTTCTCTTTTCCCCATGAAATTTTAAAATATCTTTTTGGGCTTTGGGCTTTGTGGTCTCTCTCTCTCTTTCTCTCTCTCTCTCTATAACTCAAACTCTATCTCTTTCGAGCATGTGGGTTCCATGCTTTAGGCTCACAAGGAAATGTAAAACATTAAGCTTCTGAGTTTTTGATCTCCGGGCCTGATTCTTTGAGATGTGGTTCTGAGCCTCAGAAAGCACAGTACTGCAGAGTATGTCTAGTTTTGTTCTCTGTTTCATGTCAGCATATCCATATCAAGCCTTCTAGGGTTCCCTTCTCTCTCATTTCAGTCTGCCAAGGTGGATACTCTTAACTGCCTCATGTAGGATTTCACCATTTAGTCAAAAAACAAACAGAAAAAATGGAATCTGGAGGTAGATTCTATTCAGTTGATGAGTTCAGATTGGACCCCAAGTGGCTCATTGATCCTAAACTTCTCTTTGTTGGGCCACAGATTGGCGAGGGAGCTCATGCAAGAGTCTATGAGGGAAAGTATGATTTTTTCTTGAAACCCCATTTGCTATTTGGTTTGCATAAGGTTAAATGTTCTATCTTTACTTAATGGGCAATTGCATAGTGAGACATGCTGTTTAGTTTTGGAATCATTTGCTCTTGGATTTGTGATTATTGATTTTTTGTTTGTTTGTAAGAATTAGTGTGGGCTCGATGTTAAGTGTGTTTGGAAACTCACTGTAATCATGTTGTACCACGATTTAACGTGAAAGTTATAACTTGAAGCGACTGAATGGATCTGTGTTGGGTTTGAGTGAATTTCACGCCGATCCAAATACTCCATGTGGCATCATACTATAATTTATTTTTTATATTGTAGCATCGAAAACTGGTTGATTTGTAAGGTATCGAGCTTTAGGATGCATGTTGCTTAGTTGGATTGAAGTTTGGCTTAATTTAAGCATCATTTGCTGCAACAATCACTAATGGGCCTGAATTAAGCTTCACTGATATGAGTAATTTTTTTTTTATGAAGTTTGTAGTTATGTCAATCCCCTGCTTAGTTCTTTTGCTGGGATTGTTTCAGATATAAAAACCAAACTGTTGCTATTAAAATTGTACATAAAGGAGAAACTACAGAAGATATAGCCAAGAGAGAAGGACGCTTTGCAAGGGAGGTGGCAATGTTGTCTAGAGTGCAACATAAGAACTTGGTGAAGGTGAGAATTTGGTTTAGGCTCTCGCTGATTCTTGTGCATTTTGTATGCTGTATGTTATTGAAGCGAAAACAGGTATATAATATGACAACTTGACAAGGAGTCAAGGACTACTTATTAGTTGTTATATGCCAAGTTTCCAACAGCTGACAATATATATTGCCACTCTGCTTCTCGACAGTTTATTGGTGCTTGTAAAGAGCCAGTAATGGTTATAGTCACTGAGCTGTTATTAGGAGGAACGTTGCGTAAGTATTTGCTTAACATGCGCCCCAAATGCTTGGATACACATGTTGCCGTTGGTTTTGCACTTGATATTGCACGCGCTATGGAGTGCCTACATTCTCATGGGATCATCCACCGTGATCTTAAACCTGGTAAATAAATTGGTTTGCCTTTTTTCCCCTTTAAAATATCTTAAATCATGTTCAGTAAATGTAGGTTTGTATGCTTTGTAGTTTACATTACTGTTGCTTTCCTGTGAAAAATATGAGTGGTAAATCAACAGTGTTCTTTTTGACCAGATTTCTAATATCTTCTTTTGACTTTTTTCCAATATAAATTCTATAATGTATCATTCATTTTATATGAAATTGGCCAAGCCCATTTTTTTTTATCTTTATTTTTCTTCTCTTTTAAATCTGGTTATATTTACAGATTACATAACCTCTTGTTAGCAGAGCAGAATTTAAATGCAAAAGAATATCACATTGTGGTTTCAAATCATTTTTGTCCCAAAAATGGTTGTCGCTTGTCACTTATGCATACTTGCCTACCAGTTTATGGAACTAGATGCCACTATCAAATACTCAAGTATTTCTTAATACTTGTCCATGAGTCAGCATTTTTTATTGGAAGAAAAATGAACTTGGACAGAGGACTGATTTGGAATATTTCTTGCAAATCAGTTTTTTAAGGAGGATAATGCTAAGTATGTTCACTATGAGTGATAGAATTTAGATCTTTAAGGAATAAACTTAGGTTATTTGTTTTATTTTACAGAACAGTTAAAGTAAACATGAAAAAACTTTAAAGACTCATGTTTTTCTTCATATACGTTTGTGTTTACTGGCATTGAAATGATCAGTTGTTATCTACATATGCAATAAGATTTGGCATCTTCTTTGGGACTAAAGATTTAAATCAAGTTAAAATCGTTTCAACAGTACATGATGATGACTGTCACTGTAACATGAATAGCTTATTGTTTGATTATAATATACCTCAACATGTCCATTAAAGGGGGTTAGAGTCGTTAGACTAGTGTACTGTTTCTGTTTTTATATGCATAATTGACCTTGGGAAAAAATTTATGTATGATAGCATTGTTCATATGCTATTAATTGTTCAGTGCTGAAGCTTCCTTTCTCTGCTCAACTGTATAACTTGCCCAAGTGTGAAACATCTAAATAATGAATATGAAGATTCTTCTTGTTTCCTTTATACAGATAACTTGCTATTGACTGAAGATCAGAAAACAGTCAAGCTAGCAGATTTTGGTTTAGCTAGAGAGGAATCGTTGACCGAGATGATGACTGCTGAAACGGGAACTTACCGTTGGATGGCTCCCGAGGTATATTGATGAATAGATGTGCTTTCTCTGTCTTCCCTTCATATTGTGAGCACCTGTGGATTGATTACAGTGACAAAATAACTGCAGTTGTATAGTACTGTCACACTGATGCAAGGGGAGAAGAAGCACTACAACCATAAGGTTGATGCTTATAGTTTTGCAATCGTGTTGTGGGAGCTCTTACATAACAAAGTTCCTTTTGAAGGCATGTCAAACCTTCAGGCAGCATATGCTGCAGCCTTTAAGGTTAAAAGACCCTCCGTATTACATCTTGTCATCTAATGTTTCTGAAGTCAATCCATCTTATACTGTTACATATAGGTAATAACTTGAAGTGCTTCTTTTGGTTTCAGAATGTAAGGCCAAGCGCAGAGAATCTTCCTGAGGAATTGGCTGTAATTCTTACTTCATGCTGGCAAGAGGACCCAAATGCTCGAGCCAACTTCACCCAGATAATCCAAATGCTCTTAAACTATCTTTACACTGTTTCACCACCCGAACCCATGATTCCTTCAAGAATATTCACTTCTGAGAACACAGTCTTGCCTCCAGAGTCCCCTGGCACTAGCTCCTTGATGGCAAAACGAGATGACACAGGCGATACACCCAGAACGAAGGACGACAAGCCCAATGGTTTTCTTTGCTGTTTCAGTCAGTGTTATTAACACCATCAAGTCTTTAAAGTTGAAAATGTGATAAAAAAATGTTAGATAGAATCTAGTCCAAAGTGATCCTTTTGACAACTCGGTAAATGTTCAGATTAATACCTTTGCATTTCCAGTAAAATTTAGTTCTTTTTTCTGCAACTCCACCTAGCATGCTTTTTCATCTGACATATATGCATGCTAGCATATAGTCTGCTCAAGTTGTCTAATCATATAGCATTGTCGGGATTTGCACCTTGAATTTCTTAGAAGTTGGATTATATCTTGATACCTTGAATTTTGTTCATGTCAACCCAAAGGGTCACATAAGATTAGCAGCCACTTGGTTTTACATTCGAATTGCAGGCAATTTCTCAGTTAACAGGCATTACAGGGAGCCAAGCACTAAACATTGGCCAGACAATAATGAACAAAACTTTAGTATGATACTCATGGATAATTTGTACTCCCGCCGCTGGGAGGGGTGTTGTTAAGTTCCTTTTACAAATTGCTTAAGAAACGATTAATTAATTAAATATCTATCTTCTTGGTAACCTATGTTTCTATAGATGGATTATGAGTTATTACCCCCCTCCCTTTCGGTATTTTTGGCCACATCATAGTACTAACAAACTGAAACAATGTCACAGTTCTTCGGTCTTCTCAAATATAAAATGGTGACGCCACAATATATGTTTGGGTTTACAAGTAACCATAGGTGGATCATGCCACCTACTGCGAGTGTCATTGGAATTAATTTGTACTATATTTTTTCTTGTACATTTATTATATAATGTTAAGAGAAATTGGAAGAAAGGTCAGCAAGTTGAGTTGAGACAAGTTGGAGGGTGGCGATGGTTAGAGAATGGAAGGCGTTGACAATGATTGATGAAAGTGTTGACGATAGTAAGAGAATGTTAATGATGTTTAACACTAGTTTTAATTGTGACTTCTATTGAAGCAATGGTTGCATGATGTTATTGTTAACGACGTATACGGTGATCGAAGGTTGAGTGACACGATCAATGACCAGAGACAAATTAAGGATATGATAATTTTTAGTGTATGTAATGTAACGGACGAAGACATCATCTTAATTGGATGACAAAAGCAGGGTTGGTGGGATCTATTACAATTAAACAGAGGTCGTGCAATGGGATACAAGAGCATATAATACTCTTTCATTTTTTAGAGCATGTAGAATTTACTTGAAAAGTTAATACATTAGTTGGTTTAATTAAAAATATTTGATAAAACTAATTAAGTAATAGTATTTATGTATATGAATCAAGATTCATTGACACTGAATATCAACGGTTGAATTATTCAATATTATAATCTTTTAAAAGTTATTCAGTAGTTAAGGATTCAAATTTAACACTTAATATTCACAAATACTAACCCTATTTATATAAATAGATTAATTTATGCATAACTATATATAACAACTACATCTTAATAAATTCACATTTAAATTTATTAATCTATCAAGTATATTTTATAAAATTTTAAAATTAAAATAACCAAGTATGCAGATATAATTTATAAGAAAATAAGGTTGTAAATTAGAGGAGAATAAAAAGCTCATTTTCAAAAAATCTGGGGCAAGTTATTTTCTAAAATCATGCATAACTTATAAGTTATACGCTACTTTTTTATTAGCTTATCAAATCACATCATAGTTTTTTTTTTCTTGCGAAACACACAATATCAAAATCAGATTTCTAAATTACAAACTAACATGTTTACTATTAATTTAATTTTGTGATTTTATTAAGGAGATTTTATTAAGGACATATTATCCTATTTTATATTTCTTGATTAAAACTTTTTTAAGAACTAACACCATTATAAATATTAAATTAATAAGATGTATTTTAGATAATAATACCATGAAAAATATAAACTGATATAAAAATTTTACAATTATATATTTGTATAAGTGTTTGAAGTACGATAATTTCATAAATCAATATAGAAAATATTTGTTTATCATTTTAATCTTTAAATTATAATTATATATTATTTATGTCAAATTTTATCAAAATAGAATGTTTATAAGATTATTATTAAAGGGTCTTATTTTCATAATTTTAAAAGTATATAATTATATATTACATTATTTTTATGTATATAAATAAAGTATCAAATAATTTTAAATAAATATCAAATTTTATTTATATAATTCATGTGATTGAAACTTTTAATTTAATAATTAGTTTTGGGATTAAATTATCCAACAAAAACTATTAAACGATACAAGAGTGATTATAACTAATACTAGTGTAATTTTATCTCTCTTTCTCTCTATACACACACAAAAAGAGATTCTACTTTATTCATAAAAATAATTTAATTTTCACTTGCTCTATTTATTTATTTATTTATAATTTAGGCTAACTTAATTCATATTTAAGCATAAAGTGAATTTTAATACAATACATTTTAAATTAATTATTTTTAAGCTAAATTAAAATTATAGTTTCTACACTTAATAACAAATTTTATTTTATTCTTTATATTGAAAATCTAATATTTTGATTCCTATATAAAAAATATTTATAAAATAGTTTTTACGGTTTGTTGTTACTCCAATATTAAATTTAATTTCTACTCTTGATAATGCTTTTACTTTTGTTTAATCATTACATGAAATAAATTTATACTTTTTTATTTTGACAAAAGAAGTTTACATTTTAATCCCTATAATAAGTAACATAATTTTAATTTAATCTCTAAAAAATATTCTAATAACATTAGGTTTTTTTACCTAAATAATGTAAATTAAAAATAATTTATTAAAATAATTTATATGTCTAGGGTAATTTGATGTCAGAAATTGAAATGTTTGAAACTAGTTTTGTATTTTTAATTAAAAAAATTAAAATATAAAAATTTAAGTTTTGTATTTTTAACCATCTAAACATAACACTAAATAAATAATTCAATTTCATAATTAACAATAACATAACAAATTGTAGTTGATAAGAAAAAATTCCGTTCGTAGAACATATATGATACGACACTCATTTCATATAAAAGAAAGAAGAAACTTAAAGGAAGAAGAGTTCTACGTTTTTTTTTAGGAAGAGAGACTCAATCTAAAATGTTCAAAAATAAAATATAAGAAAAAGGAAACATCATTACCATTCTAGTTGATAAGTCCAGAATTAGATCTTTTTTTGTGGTCCATATATTTATGTTTAGTCTTTATTTTAATTGAGTTTTACATTGATTTATATATTAAATGTACAATTTAGTATAAAGAGGCCACAAGTGAATTTTTAGAGCATTTTAGACCCAAATTGATGAAAGATTAAAGTTTCGCAACAGCCAGCACACTTAGACCCTTTCAACAAGGTCTTGCATGACTCATTTTCGGGAAGTTCAATTATAAAGATTTTTTAGGGTTTTTAAACCCTATAAAAGAGATATCTCAGGCATTTTGTTAGACACACCGTTTATATCTTGTCTTTTACTCTTTGATACACTTCTCATCTTGTTTTTTTTCTATGGGATCTTTAGTATACTTTTGGCAGAATTTAGAGTTTTGAAAGATCGTACTTGAAGATCGAGAACTATCTCACACTCTATATATATTTGTATGAATGATTGGTAATCACAAAGAAATTAAATTTAGAGTTAAATGGAAAAATAAAATAAAAGATTGAATGAGAAAATTCATATATCTAGGTTCTTTTCCTATAAGTTCAACCAAGATGTGTATTGTTTTATTTACTTTTATTTATAATTAATTTTATAATTAAATTTTAGTTCTTATTAAATTTCACATCTTTTAGACTCAAACGATTGAATTAAAAAATTCTTAGTAATTGATGATCAATTCTTATGGAACGATATTTTAAAAACTTATTTTAGAATATTTTATTACTTCTCGACGGGTATATTTACCCAACGAATACTACTCAATGCATTTTTTTTATGTTTTTTATTTTTTATTTTCTGTTATAGATTCAAGAGGGTGAATTATTATTGTATTTTTCGTTGTTATAGCATGTTTGTGTGAGAATGGTGTGTAAGCAGCTATAGTTCAATTAAAAAAAAGAAGTAGGTTTAAGTATACATATACCATAAGTTTCACTTTTTTCAGCTTGTGTCATCACTACACATGACTTATAATTTGATAAATCCATAAATTTTGTATGAAATTTATTTTAATAAAATAATTAATAAATTATTTATACTTAATCACATGATGGTTTGTTCATAATTTTCTCCAATATTTACTAGTGGCACCTACAAAACATTTGTGGACTTATAATAGTATTAAACTCAACATACCACTTGAACCTCAAAATCATTTATTATACAACTCACATCTTCATAGCCACATGCTTTCAAGCTATATGTTTTTTAGTGTGACGATCAATTAAAAATCTTACTTTTAAGCTTAAAACAATTTAATTTAAAAAGTTTAAACTTTACATAAATCCTTTTTTTCAACACAGTAAAACTAATAATATTAAGTCTTATTAAAATAACTTTATTGTTATTTTTAAAAATCACTTTTTTTTTCAAATATCTTTTCGTTTGAATACATAAAAATAACGATTTTACTCTTTTTTTAGACACCTTAACATTTCAAAATTTTACTTATTAGATTACATTTAACTAAAATTTTTACCAATCATTTAATTAATATATTTATAAAAATTTACTTCTTTCAATACATTAACAACAATGAACAATTATCACAATATTAAAACTTTATAATTGAATCATGCTAATATTTTTTTATATTGCTAATACTATTAATAATAAACTTTTAAATAAATTTCCTAGAACATCGTAAAATTTATCATTTTGCAATGGATAATTAACGTTTACAAAAATTATTATTTTGATGAATATAATCTATTTTGATGTTTAATTATAATATTAATTATAAAAGAAAAGTGTCTAAGAGTGTTTAAATTATATATTTTTTAATTTTATCTCATTTTAAAAATACTTGTACGATATATAAGAAAATTGTTGATATATATTAAAGTTTTTGGTTACTCCTCTCTTACTTTATTTATCTTTCTCCCTAGATATATATATGACGAAGTCAACATATACAATCAGCAATAAAATATTAATTTTAAATTTTTATCTTAAATACTTAAAATAAAAATTCATGGAGTTAAAACGGTGATAATTAAGGGTAATATAAGTTATTTTTTAATTTAATAAAATTAAACTTAAATTTTAAATTTTAATGTGAATACCGAACGTGCTAATAAAATTAAAACACACAATTCCTGTTATAAGTCTCACGTGCCAAACAAATATTACGTTAATAATATGGTGATAATAGTCATTAAAATTGCCACTTTTTTATAAGAGGAGAGGATGTTTCATTACTTTTATAATAATATATGAATTGGCACGTGTCCTTGGACTCACGTCAAACAGAATCAACTAAGGCTGTTACTTACCTTCCGTTCTCTTCTTTTTCGCTCAGAGAATCTACAAAATAGTAGCATGCGAATTAAAAAGAACTCTCCACTCTCAATGCTTGTGGTAACATACATGAATGTCCATGTTAATATTAAACTATAAATGTTATGTTCTAAACTTTGTCTGCGAATCGTAAATGTGAACTCATCATTCATCAACTTGATTAAAACCTTAAAATGGTATCAAACGTAAAATCATATTATTTTGTGGTTTACTTT